TCATATAAAAAATATTGGATTCAAAAACTACGGAGAAATCAATAACTGCCATATTGTTTGACACGTCGGGATATTTAAAAGACACCCCGAAAAGCAATATCAATGACTGCAGATCGAAACATTACATCGATTTACGATACTGTGGGCGTAAATTCATCAAAAAGTGATTATCTAAATGCATGTTTCAAATATTACACATGTAAATTGGAAAAGTAATTTTTTGTTTTTCAAAAGAAAAATCTTTCTGCAAGAGCTCTGTTATGTTCTGCGACAACGGGGCTTTAGGCGCATCTAATAAAGTTGAATATGAATAAAATAAGCCGAATTGTAGTTCTCTTAGGGCAGTGTTTCCCAACGTGGGGCAATTCGAAAATGGACTCGACAATAGCTTTTGCTCCGGGCCATTTAAATGCAATGCTAGATTTCGGTGCCAAAATTGAAAGAAAAAAGTAAATTCTTAAATAATTGGGGCCAATAAATATTATGTGACTTAGCGATTTTTTAAGCGACAAACCTGAAATGAAATATCTGTTAACAGTCAATGGTAAAATATTTGTGAGTTATTTAGTCGATATCTTTGAAAAACTAAATATATTAAATAAGTAACTTCAAGGAGTAAATGAAACTCTTGTTGATGCAAAAGCGAAGATATTTGGTTTCATTACCCTTATTGAGTTATGTCAGAAGTATATTAACAACAAAAACTTTGAACTGTTTCATTGGCTCCAAAAATGTGAAGTAAAAGACACAGCTTTACTTGATATTGTCGATCATCTGAAAATTCTATCGGTTGATTTACAAGAAAGATTTTCTGATTTAAAACAAATTGATTTTCCAACACGGATGATGCAGTCAATGTTAGTGGATTTGTCTGATATATCAAATATGCAGTATCAAGAAGAACTCGCAGAAATGCAAAATGATAAGTCGGTTAAAACTTTATTTAATATAAAAGGAGTGATGGCATGGCTTTGTGAGGAAAAAGAAATCAAATACCCAAATGTGTATGAAAACTATTGTTACAGTTTCCATCTTCATATCTTATCTAGCTGAATGTGGATTTAGTGCTGTAAATGATTTACTGGTAAAAAAAAAAAAAAGTCTGGATGTGGAGGACTTGACTGGGGAGACTTGAGACTGAATCTAACCAAATTGGAACCTAACATAAAATCTCTGTACATCAAGCGCAAGGATCTCAATTAAAATATTAAATTATTGTTGAAAAATCTTTATTGGTTGAATTTTAGTTTTTCATTATACGTTTTGAAAATTTACTTACTGTGTTTTGTTAACAATTTCCTAGTGATTTATTCCTAAAACCTATTATTTAAGTTTCTTAAGTGAACAATTCAATTTTTTAATATTAAAAATTATGTATATGTTACAGGGGGGGGGGGCATAAGAATCTTAGAAAGGCTTAGGTGGGGCATGGCACAAAAAAGGTTGGGAAACACTGTCTTAGGGGGTTGTTCCTTTGAATGGGTCCCCCTTCTCAGATTTTTCTTTTTAGTTTCTTGCTGCCTCAGAAGTTGACAAGACATGGAGATTATTTTGCTGCAGAACAGGATTAAGAAATCTTTTTTACCTTTCTAAGTTATCAAGGGTTTGTGTCTAGGTTTTTTTAAAAAAAGGACCTAATTTGTGGAAATTAAAAAATCAACCCAACATGTACATAATATTATTTTAATTAGTATTTTATCAAGTACTCAGCACACTTAGCATAGCATATTGAGATAAAAGAACAGATTTTTAATATTAACATACTCAGACAAGTTTTGACGTTGTACTCTGTTAATATTGAGTAGTTGTAAAAATTAAGTATTTATAAGCATAAATAAAGACGAAGATTTTTTAGCAATGAAAAAAAGAATCAAACATAAATTTATAGCATGCAATCATTTACTACTGCTTAACTCATTAAAAAAAGACAATTGTACGACAAAGCTTTAAAGGGCATAGAGGAAAATCTTAAAATTTGATTTAAAAAAAAAAAAAAAGTATTTTGTGAAGCTACTGTTTTTCTTCAAGTTCAATTTGTGTCAGTACCGTTTGATCAAAGGGTGAATTTGTGAAGGTACCACTAAACTGTAGTAAATTTGGCCTGGACAGACCCCTGGTTATAGTTGCATTTTTTTTTGCTTAAATAAAGTCATCAAACCCTGTGCAGATTAACTTGCTACAGAGTTATGATTTGTTTTAAAAAAATATAGATACATATGGAACTAATTTACTTAAATTCCAGAATCGATACATCGGAAAACGACAAGAAATCCCACATAAAGAATATGTTTTGAGTTAAGAGCATAACTTTAATACTGAGTAAACTAAATTTTGTAGGTAGAGTTACAAGCATTTTAAGTCAAATATGAAATAAAAATGGAATTAATAATCTATTATGGTTAATAAACTCACTTAAACCTGGGTTTGTAGGTAGGATAAAAACCCTGTTATATAGACAAACTTGATTGAAGCTTTACTCAGTTTCGCCTAAAGTTGGCGCTGGAGAAATAGGCAGCAGTTGTCATGGAAACGGGGTGACTCTTTAAGTTGGTTGGGGGCATGAGTTAGTAAAAAAGAGAATGCGGCCAATATTGGTGTTAATGAAAACAAAGCACAGTTTTTTTTTGTAAACCTAGAATTTTACTAAAATTTTGAACAAAATTCAGAAAAGAACTTGATTTTTTTAGAGCATTTCTAATAAAAATTGAATTGCGATACTAATTGTAAAATTTCTTAATTGTTACTTACTACTTAATTAAATTTTAAAAAAAATTTCTTATTAATATTTTTTGTCCAAACTAAACTAATTTTAAACAAAGCAAAATTAAGAAGATAATTTTTTTAATTAAATCTAAGTATATACTTAGTATTTATCTAAGTTTAAATATTATACTAAGCATATAAATAGATGCTCATAAATACTTTTAGATACTTATTTTTGTCGATTTATGCACAAGAAAAGCTATCGCAAAAAAGCTATAGATTAATAAGTAACAAAATACAAAGTAACAACCAGGGTTCGTGATTTAAAAAAAAAAAAAAAATCAGATTTATTTGATTTTTTATTTAAATACACTGTGAGAACTTTAATTCATGGTTAAAAAAACTTTATAAATGTTTAATCAAAATTAAATTAATGTTAAAACCATATAATAACAATATTTTAAAAGCTGTAACTTACTAAAATAATTTTTCATTGTAATACATAGCTTTGAATGCATAGCAACCATTTTGAAACAAATGCATGATTGAAATTTAAAAGACAAGAAATATTGAATTTAAAGAATACTTCAGGAATCTGTCTGGGTGTTCCTGTGAGGTACCTATTTTGTTAAAATTTAGACATAATTTGTGAAAATTATAACTTATATTAAAAATTCAACACGAATATGGTAAAAACATGGATTTATTGTTTCTTACAAAACACCAAAATAAAATTTTAAGAAAAAAGTATTGTGTGAAATTATTTTACAGCTTTTCCTAAAGTTGAATTTGTGAAGGTACCGCTAAACAGTAGTAAATTTGGCTTGGACAGACCCCTGTACTTTAACTACTAAAACAAAGTTTCAATTAGCAAACCATATTTTAATTTAAAATTGCGATTTCTTTTTTTTTCCTCTTGATTTTCTAAATGACAAAATAAATGTTACAGATTGTGTTTATAATGTAGTCATTCATCAAAAAATAAATAAATATTTAATCTATATATTTTTTATATTAAAATATAAATTTTTAATTCTATATTAAAATAGATAAGTTAGCTGAAAAAAAATTCTTAAAAATCTATGTAGTCATTGGAATTTTTTCCCCACAAAATTTCTTTACAGAAAATCAGATAATGTCGAAGATACGGTAAACACATTATGAGAAAAAAATACCACTTAATAATCCTACTGCTTCAAATAAACTTTGAAAGCTAAGAATGACACTATATCAGGAAAAAAATATCTGAATTCATCAGTTTTTTTTGTCATATTAGGGTAATTTTTTTAATATAACCTCAAGCTTCAAAAATATACTTTTTCCACCAATAAAATATAATGTAGATTTTAATTTCCCGCTTTTTCATTCAAAAGGTAGAATTTTAAACAACATTATTAGCATTATTTTTTGAAAAAAAAATCAGGTTGATGAATTATTTTCTACAGCTATCAAGTCTATATTACAAGAGCATTAAATGTTTACTTTAATCTGTACTTTCAATCTCAAGAATCAAAAGATTTCTAAAAATGTAATTTCAAATGTGTTGGAATTTAACACACACCAAGAAAGCAATTTCATTAACTGAAATTAATGCAGCAATTTTAATTTATTATTGCTGCAATTATTCAATAATTGCAGCAATTACAAAATAAATTTTAAAACTAAGAAAAGAAGTATCAATAATTTAAAGTGTTTTTTAACTTTTAAAATCAATATATACATACAAAAAAATTAGTTGATTTAAATCAAGCCGATTTAAATCAACAATGGAACTAAGGAAAAAAAGCTGACAATTAAAACTAGCTACACAGTTAATAGCTACAAAAACAAAGGATAACTGGAAAATAAAACAAGCTAACATTTAGTAATTAGCCAAACAAGAAAAAAACATAATTTAAAAAAAAAAAAAAAAATAATGTAAAAAATAACTAAAAAAATAAGCTACCACTAAATAACTAGGGGAAAAAAAAAAACAACTCGAAAGAACTGGCTGACGAGTGTAAAAAACATGGCCAACGAACAACTCCTTAGCCACAGAAACTAATTTGTAGCCAAACTAAAACACCTCTGTACATTCGCTTCATTATATAACTTCTAATGCATGTTTCAATATAATCTTTTCTTATTACACAACATTTATTTATATTTCTAAGCACATTTAAACTGTAATTAATTCCAAAATAATGAACTACTTTTCAAAGGCGTAGTATTACATTTCCTTGTAGTGCCAACATGAGGGGAAATGAAGTATTATCCTAAAAATTATTAAAAGAAATTTAAAATGAAATGACATTAAGTCAGATGTCAATATTTTATTATAAATAATACAAGACTTCCTAATGCATAACCTATCTTTACATTTTATTACGGAAGCCTAAAAAACAGACAATTCAAACTTGCAGCACAGATGGTAAATATGAACAGACTGGCCCTTACAGATTAAACAGTTCTTTCAAACATACAGCTTCATTTTTTCACAATTATACAGGAAAAAAAAAATTTCATAGAAAATTAAAAAAGTCAAACAGAAACATTAAGATAAATTGCCTTTTGTTTACATAATTTTCATAGAAAAATCACCCATGTATTCAAGTTTTTAATAACCTTGAATTAAGTAATGCAATGATGGAAATCTATATAAATTAAGTTATGGAGTGAGGTGATAAATGAATAAGTGTGTCCGTTACTTACTAAAATACAGTTCAAAGTTCATCATGGTCCGAATCCGTAAATTCTTCCTCTTCGGCTTTAGTCTCTTCTTCTAAGTCTTCCACTATTTCCGGCTCCTCGTCGATCTGTGCGTCGTCGGACACGCCCAGCGACTTGCGAAGCAGGCTCTCAACACGCTGCGCAAAACTGCTTGTGTCCTTCAACATGAATCCAGACCTGAGTGTCGCGGTCTCGAACATGATGTTGGCCATCTGTTTGGCGGCCTCGTCCGTTTTATCGGACTGCACCCGTCTCAAAAGCTCTTTCATCAGTGGATGGCGAGGATTGATTTCTAGAGTTTTTTTCTGGCTCAAGTAATATTCTCGTGTCGTGTCCTGAATTTTACTGTGGGCATTACTGGAAGCCAATCTTTCCATGTTACCCGTCCAGCCGAACTGGCTGGCCACCAGAGCGCAGGGTGAGGAATGTAAACGTTGAGAAACAACGGCTTTGCTGACCTTGTCTTTTAAAACATCCTCCTCCAACCATTTTATTAAGGGTTCGTATTCTTTCATTAAAGAATCTTGTACTTCTTTAGCTTTTTCGCCTTCGTCTAACCTCAAACCGTCTTTCGCTACATTTTGGAATTTCTTACCCTCGAATTCGGGCAATGCAGAAATGGCATACTCGTCGACCGGTTCCGTGAGATACAGAACTTCGTAGCCTTTCTTCAATAGCCGCTCTACAAACGGCGATTTCTCAACTTCGTCTAAAGAAGCACCTGCCATATAGTAAATATGCTCTTGTTTTTCTTTCATCCGCTCCACGTACTCGGAAAGAGACGTATAATTTTTAGAATCATTCGAAGAAAGGAAGCGAACGAGTTTGGCCAGTCTGGTCCTGTTGCTCGGATCTTCGATGACTCCGAGTTTTACGTTCGTGCTGTATTCCTTCCAGAACTTTTCATATTCTTCTTTGGGGATTTTTTTAATCATGTCCAATGTTTTTCTAACTAGCTTTTTCTTGATCACTTTCAACAGCTTGTGTTGCTGCAAGGTCTCTCGAGAGACGTTGAGGGGCAAGTCGTCGGAATCCACGACTCCCTTCACGAAGCTGAGGTAGTTGGGCATCATGTCTTGGAAATCGTCCGTTATGAACACTCTGCGAACGTACAGTTTGATGTGGTCGACTTTTGTACCGTACCTGTTGAAAGATTCGGACGGTTGCACGCTGGGAACAAATAACAGAGATTTGAAAGTAACTTCACCCTCCGCGATAAAATGAGTCTTAGCCAAAGGATCGGATGAATCTTTAGTGATGGATTTGTAGAACTCGTCATATTCTTCGCTCTCAATCTCCGAGGGTTTCCGCGTCCAGATGGGCTTAGAAACATTTACCAGCTCCCAATCGCTGACAGTTTTTTCTACTTTCTTCGTTTTGGGTTTCTCTTCTTCACTTTCTTCTTCTACCTTAGCATCTTCGTCCTCCGCAGGAGAATCTGTAGTGGCATCGGTCTTTTCTTCCTCCTCGATGGGCTCTTCGACGGTTTCAGTTTTTGTGGACCACAGGTATATGGGGAAATTGATGAACTGGCTGTACTTTTTGATTAAATTACGCAAGGTGTCTTCTTCTAAGAAATCTCTCGCCTCTTCCTTCAAATATAAACTGACAGTAGTGCCACGAAGAAGAGTGGGCCCTCGTGGATCGTCCACGATGTTGAAAGCGCTGGCATCAGACTCCCATATATGTTGAACATCATCATTGTGTTTACTGGTAACAACAACTTTATCTGCTACTAAAAACGAGGAATAAAAACCGACGCCAAACTGACCAATCATATCGGTTAGTTCAGTCGCACTCTGCGTTTCTCCCACTTTTTGCAAGAAATCTGAAGTTCCAGACTTAGCTATTGTACCCAAATTTGCTATGAGTTCGGCTTTGGTCATACCTATACCGGTGTCGGTAATATGAAGAGCGTTATTTTCTTTATCACTTTTTATACGTATGTGAAGTTTTTCAGTAGCAGAAAGTGCAGCTTTATCGGTAAGAGAGAGCACTCGAATTTTGTCCAGAGCATCAGAGGCATTGGATATCAATTCTCTAAGGAAAATCTCTTTGTTTCGGTAGAGAGAGTTTATAATTAATTTCATCATACGATTTACCTCGGCTTGGAAAATGAATTTTTCTGCTTTTTCCCGCATTTCTTTAACTTGGGCGACATTGAGACCATCAATTTTGATGGCTTCTTCTTCCCTCTGCACGACTTCATCATCAGTTCTGGAACCATCTCGACTGCTTCCAATATCTTTTTCTACCGAAGGTTCATCAATTTCATCAGCATTTACAATGGTACATAGGAAAAATATACCCAAAATTACAAAGACTAGCCACCGCATCTTGCTACTTTTTAAAGAGTAATTACAACAATGCGACTAAATTTTTTCGCCGGTCTATAAGCTCCCATTCGAATAAACAAAAACCTGACGTGGATCTACGAGATTTGTCGTGTAAATTTATTATTGGCTAATTGTTTGGCACTTGGAGTTGAGTTGGCATCGAAATAAACCAACATGATTTTCATTAATCCATAGTTTCAATCACAAAATGGCAACAAAAATATTGTTACATTCGGATAGATATTAGCCTCAAATAAAAGGAAATACGATACCTATGTTTTAAGTGGCAACAAAATTCCTGTTTCAGGATTATTTCATTTAGTTTGAAGTTAAAGAGGATAGAATTTATTGCATATTCTCTGGAACTAACTTTTGTAACTCACAAATGATTTAAGACAAAAAAATCTCCTTTGTGAAATACAAACGTCTTTAACAAGACAATTTCAACTGAGAGAAATGGAAGGTGTTTTCTATACTAGGAAGCGCTGCTGGCTTTTAACCGCCCATATTTCCGGTTTATGGTATCCGGTGTATTTTAAGGCAATTTGTTCAAAATACAAATTTTGTTCTATATATGTAGGGTATATTCTTTATTCTAAATGATAATTTGCAAAATAAATTTAATCTCGCTACTCTAAATACTAACACTAGCGCCCGCATGGTGCTATGTTTTAAGGCTGTTGCTTGGCTGACTAATTTTTTAATAAATAGAGACGTTTGATTGGTCGATTGCCTCATCGTTTTCATCTTTATCGCTTAATCGTTTAGTCAGGCTTACTAGAATGGCATTTTTGTTTGGCGCAATTTTACTAATGCGCATGCTTGGTTTGATAAATTATTCAAACCAATCGAACTTCGTAGACAATAAATATTGGCGATCGAAATGGGCTGCAGGTGGCGTAGAGCAGAAACCTTTNAATTTTACTAATGCGCATGCTTGGTTTGATAAATTATTCAAACCAATCGAACTTCGTAGACAATAAATATAGAAACTTGTATACCCTCCTTTGCTTGTGTAAACACTGACAAGGACATAAAGATAGGAAGATCAATCACGTGAACTTTGACATCACTAGTCTTAATTGAATTTTTTGATTGTTTATTTGATTTTTATAGATTGTTATGATAAATAATAACATTCTGTCTCTGTGCTAGAAAATTCTGAGCACATTTTTTAAAAATTTTTTGAAGATTTATAATTTTTAAATTTAAAATGAAAAAAAATTATATATTCTTAAAAATTGATTTTTATATTGTTCTGAAATTCAAATACTTAAAATAAAAAAAATAAATAAATAAAAATAAAAAAACAATTTATGGGCTTATTAAAAAATATGAAAATAAATAAAAAAAATAAAATAATTAAAATAAAATAAAGAACAGTTTTATAAGCAATCTAAGCTGCCCAAAACATTTAATTTCATGAAGAACAAAAAATTGGAAAATGTTAATAATTGCTGAGATAGAGTCTCATAATTGCCTGTTAGCGTTCAGTTAGTTAGTTATTAAAACTTTTTCATGGTTTTCATTTGTGCGTAATCTAAATTCTAATTATTTTCATTCAAGAAGTCTTTCAAAATATAATTTCATTCCTGTATTTAAATTACAAGTAACTTTGATATCTGGGTGGCCTACAAAAATTCAAAAAAGTACAAAAAAAATTTAGAGCATTTCACAGCATTTACTATTTATCAAAGATGATTAAAAAAAAATTATTGATTATTAAAAAATAATTTTATTGCGATAATCAACATTAAGCTGGAAACCTATTACTATTAAGCAATTTAAAAGACTTTTTCGTGGTTTTCCTTCGCATGTAACGCAAATTTGATTATTTTAATTTAATCTTCTTTAAAATAAACTATTCTTATAACTTTCATGAACATGCTTGCATTCCGATACTTAAATTGTTAATTACTTAGATTTCTGAATTGAATTAAAGATAATAATGACGTTTCGTTACATTCACAAAGATGATAAGCTTCACAAGGATGGAAAAAAAAAAGATTGGTTATTAAAAAATAATTTCTTTTAGATTATAAACATTTAGTTAGAATCCTATTCCCGATAAAAACGATTAAAAAAAATTATTTTCGTGGTTTTCCTTAGCGTGTAAAGCAAAATTTGATAATTTTAATTAAAATTGGTAATTTTTATAGCAATTATACTTCGATACTTAAAATCCGACTTACTTTGATTTCCGGGTTTAGTTAATAAGAAGAGCTTTTCGTTCTGTTCAGGAAGATGGTACCCTATCTATTAAGGATAATAATAATAAAAAAATGGCTGTTTAAAAAAAATATTTTCATTGAGATGATGATGAACATTTAACTTGAATCCTATTATCACCAAGCAATTTAAAAAAAAAAAAACATTTTCGTGGTTTTCCTTTGCGTATAACGCAAAATGTGATTATTTTGATTTAATCTTAATTAAAATAAGCTAATCTTTTAACTTTTATAAATATAATTTTACTCTGATGCTTGAATTGCATGTTATTTTATTTTACATACCAAATAAAAGCAATCTGAAAAACATTTTCGTTTGTTTTTCTTAGCGTGTAACGCAAAGTTTGATAATTTTAATTTCAATTTAATCTTGATTACAATTAATTATTTTTATAACTTTCATAAATATTGTTCTATTCCGATACGTAAATTGCGAGTTACTTTGATTTTCGGGTTGAGTTAGAAACTACAAAAATATGAAGAACATCTCGTTATATGAGGGTTACTCTGAAATTTTTGAGATACGCGCAGACAAGAATTTACAAAATAAAAATAACGGTTTAATTTCAAAATACAAAGTGTATTTTAACACGGCAGACGATTTTTTACCGACTTACTTCAACTTGTTTAGCGTAGAATAAATTTTAAACAGAAGAGAAAATGGAGTTGACGCGTAAACATTTTCGCTCTATGATTTTCTACGATTTTAAAGCAGGATTAAATCAAGAAGAATGCGTTCAGCTTTTGCAATTAGCATTTGGTGATCTCCAGCTCGTGTTACTGTATTCAGATGGTTTAAAGAATTTAGCAGGGTTCGCAATTCTCTTCAGGATGAAGAACACACAGGAAGGCCAGTAATCCCGGATAATGTGTCTGCTATACTTGTTGTTGTTAATTTACGTCGCACTAGAGCTGCACAATGGGCTATTGGCGACGGTCTGGGAAACATCCCGGAGGATGATCCGAAGACATGCCATCACAATTTTGATCCTCTGCGGAGGGGATGGCACCCCCGCTTCGGTAGCCCGACGACCTGCGAGCGAAGTCGGGCACTCTACGGTAGCACAGTTTAACGAGGACCAATACCGCACACCCTCGGTTCCTACACAGACGGATCCAAGTGGTCACCCACCTGCACACTGACCGTTGCCAGTGATGCTTGACTTTGGTGATCTGCTGGGAACCGTGTCTTAACGATCAGTCCATTGCGGGACGTGTGTGCTATACGAAAAATGTTAAAGGATGATAATCGCTGTACCTATCAAATTATACAGAAGGAACTTAACATTAGATCCGCAGCCATACACAAAATTAAACATGAAGAATTACATATGAAAAAAGTAGTTTGCCGTTGGGTTCTCCATAATCTAATTGAACGACAAAAAGAGGAGCATGTCAGAATCAGTAAAGAAACTCTTAAATTGCTAAATGATGGTGACCACAGCATCATTTCTGAAATTGTAATTGGTGATGAAACGTACATACCGTTTTTTGACGTTTTAACGAGTCAAGAAAGCAAAGTATGGGTCTTTGAAGATGATCCCACGAAGATGAAAAGATAACGCGCCCAGAAAAAGTGATGTATGCTGCTTTCTTCAGAAGTACGGGATTGGTCAAAGCCATAAAGTTGGAAGGACAGAAGACAGTAACAGCAAACTGGTATATCACTAAATGTCTTCCAGAAATTCTACAAGAAGTGAATGTTAGGGGACTAGTGCTTCACCATGACAACGCATCTTCACATACAGCCGGATTAACAGTTGAGTTTCTTAAACAAAAACAAATTAAAGTGATAGAACATCCGCCGTATTCACCTGATCTAGCCATGTGTGACTTCTGGTTATTCTTTAATCTAAAAAAGAACTTATGTGGACGTCGTTTTCCTTCAGAAGAAGAGATTGATGTGGCTATAAATGCATTTTTTTCATCTATTCCAAGAAATAAATGGCTTGAGGCATTTAATCTGTGGAAAATTCGACTCCAAAAGTGCATTGATGCTGAAGGAGACTACTTTGAACACACCTAAAATTTTGTAAGTGTAACTTTAAAAACCTAGTTGTATCTCAAAAATTTCAGAGTGACCCTCGTATTCACAAAAAAGTCTCTCAAAGATGCTAAAAAAATTATTCATCAAAAAAAAAAATTAATTACGATTACTGAGCTTTTGATTGGAATCAAGCAATCTGAAAGATATTTCCGTGGTTCCTCTTTACTTGCAATGCAAAATATGATTGTTTTCTTAAACTCTTATTCAAGCAAGGAAAAAAAAAAGAAACATTTATACAACTACTAACCACTCCAAAAACCAGAGTAAATGCTTTATAATAAAACTGATACGTCAAGAATTTGGAATTATGAAGAACTTGCCTGTATATTTTGATTCAATAAACTGATCTATTTTCTGCTTCCCTTCTTACAATTTTTTCCTAAAAGTGAAAAATGACTTGTTACTTCTTCTGACTCTTCTACATTACTGTTTGAAAATTTGACGGGTCATCAGGATGTCTTTCGTCAACATCTTAATAAAATTCGAGCTAATAGTATTGTAATTGTAACGGAGAAAATATCAAAATGATGAAATGAACATGAACTTTTTATACAGTGTTAAAATTCAAAAACTTAAGTACTAGGGTTCCTATGATTTTACTAATAACTTATTCTAGTATGTCATATTGAAATATCTGATATATGTATACTGAAATATCTGATATATGTATATTGAAATATCTGATATATGTATATTGAAATATTTGATATATCTGGAGAAAAAATTTTTCTAACCAAATATTCTTTGAATCAGGAAAAGACAAAAAAAAAAACTGTTGATTTTTTTAAAATATACTTGGCATTTGATCACAAACGCCTTCAAACTTTGTTCTCGATAAAAATAATTTCAAATTATTTTAATCC